ATTTGTTTCTAAATGCCTCAGGAACCATACTACGTCGTCAAAGTGCCAAAATATTGCACTTTGCATATGCAGTAGAATTGACATAGGCAGCTCATGTACGTATCGCAATGCTGACACAAAATAATTAATTACTCATTACCCGAACATTATTTATGAACTTTTATGATCGAACCATGTAAATAATGCATTGCTGACCATTCTTTAATCATAAAAGTTCATAAAATGTGCTCAGAAAGTGAGTAATTAACGATTTTGCATACTCATTGTCATCGCGCGGAGCGCCTAATCAAACAGACCTAGTATAAATATATATTTGCACTGATTAGATGAGGGTTACATATTATATTATAACGCAGAAACATGTTCGTGAGTTACACTGAGACGTCGTACGCATGCTCGAAAACGAGAAAAATATTATGTGTACTCTTACAATGATAGTACAGTAAAACCCTTATTAAGGGGCACTTTTTAAGGGATACATAAAAACTAATTACGCTGCATAGCACGGGGCTTTCCACTAGTATTTATATATACAAAAAATGCAAATGTAGTGGTGCACGAATGCGTGGTAAAACCGTTTTTGCAGCACTTTACCGGCATTGGGTAATGGGCGCCACTAATTTTGGATCGAAGCAATTTCTATTCCTGTCAATTTTTTTTTATTGAATGCATGTGTATACATAACCAAAATACAAATTTTGTCGCATTATTATGTATTGCTTTCGGTTAATTTATTTTGTTATGCAGGATATACAGTATTAAATTGAATGTTGTTTCAGTATAACCTAACAAAAGAGATCAATCAAACCATTGTAATTACCTTTTATGTATTCTAAAATAATACTTTTATTCAGTATCATTAAATATTATTAAAATAAGATATGTTTTACCATGTAAGTTATTTTAAATAAAAATATAGTAACTACTATCAAACGTGTGAAATGTATTCATTGTATAATCTTGAATTTTTTCAGATATCATTAGAACATGAAATTTTATTACATCCCAGATATTTTGGGCCTCAATTATTAGATACCGTAAAACAAAAATTATATACTGAAGTGGAAGGTACTTGCACAGGAAAGTAAGTTTATACTTAAAAATGATGCGTTTTAAGTGACTATTTTATCTAATTACTTCTATACCACATGATATTTCAGATATGGTTTCGTAGTTGCTGTAACAACAATAGATAATATAGGTGCAGGAATTATACAGCCAGGGCAAGGTTTTGTAGTGTATCCTGTAAAATATAAAGCTATTGTGTTTAGACCATTTAAAGGGGAGGTGTTAGATGCTATCGTAACACAAGTGAATAAAGTAAAAATGAGATACAATAATTGCAATTACAAAAAAATTATATTTATCATTTCTTATTTATTTAATTATTTTCTCTTATTAGGTTGGAATGTTTGCTGAAATAGGTCCACTTTCATGTTTTATTTCTCATCACGTAAGTCATTCCTAAATGAGTTATAATTGTATAATTAAATTTTATAAACTACAGTATTTTCTTGTTTAGTCAATCCCAGCAGATATGCAATTTTGTCCAAATGTAAATCCACCATGTTACAAATCAAAAGAAGAGGTATATATATTTATATGTAATTATTTATATCCAATTTAATATGATCACAGTATAATATAATGATATAAATTGTAGGATGTAATTATTCAACCAGATGATGAAATAAGACTGAAAATTGTTGGTACCAGAGTCGATGCTACAGGCATTGTTAGTATACAATATATATATAATATTTCATTGTAAGAATTTATATTACATTGCACATTAATATTATATATACATATTTTTTTACAGTTTGCCATTGGAACATTGATGGATGATTATTTAGGTGAATCTATACTTTATTAATTCAATGACTGATTACAATATTACATTCTTCTAATAATTCTTTTTTTTTTATAGGTCTTGTATGCAACTAAATAAAATTAATATATGTACTATATTTTTTGTACGGGAGCCTTTTAAATTAAATAAATCATACTTTTACATATTTACATAATGTTTCTGCTACTTAGTGTCAATATTTGATCTATCAATTGCTTATGCTATCTATTATATAAAATCAAAAAATAAATTTAAATATTAGGATAATTAGTTTTCTGCAGTTAAAACTACAAAAGCTATCATTAATTCATAAATAAACTTTAAAACAATTTTTTTGCACAAATTTCGTATTTATTACGTAGCATAATGAATATTCGAATCTTTTAAATTAATCAATATTTACGAGAAGCAAAAAACTGATGATAAAGCTTGATGAAAGAAAAATATATACAACGTATTCAATTTATAATGTGCATATGATTTATAAGGAATACCAACAACGGTTATAAATGCAACAATCGAATTTAACGACCTTGGATACTGGTGCTTTTGCAAATATCTGAAAAAATAAATGTACGTTTCATTAAAAGTTGTCAACAACAATGAAAAACTTGAAAAATAATTGTGTATAAAGTTTCACCTTTTTCATCCTTGTACGATTATTTAAACAATTTTTATTTAGATCGTTTTATTCGTCTTAGAAACCGCTATCGTATTGCAAAGAAAAGATATTAAATATGATATTATAAAATGGAAATATCTCCATTAAAAAAAATTGATATCCACTTTTTAAGACACTGCATTCTAAAGAAAGCTATTGCGACCATATAATGGTCCTCCCCACAATTTTATTTAATAATTCTTTCCCTAGCTATCAGAGATATTAAAAACAATTAAGATATTAATAGTGACTGATTCACTCTGTGCTTACAACATGTAATCACATATGCACATAGTTACAAGTGCAATTAAGTAATATTAATGCATAAGCAGTGTAGTTGTATGTGTCTGGACTTTTATTACTGAAATTTATTAAATAATACTTTAGAAACCATTTATCAATTATTAATGAGCTATAATTCCTTATAAATACCCATTAATAGTAATATTCATACCATGCTGTTTGATCTCCATGTGTGATTCTACAAATATATTTAAGCTGTACATGTCAAAACAGATTCCGTATTTTAATATCTCAATTATTTATTATCTAGTCATATAACTTGAAAATTTTTTATTCATTTTTTTGTTTTATCTGAAGTAAGTGAAAATGTGTTTTTAAGTCAAATTTATCAAAATAATATGAATCTAAGCTTAACAAAGCAGAAAATAAAGCCAATTTTGGTTCAATAGGAGTTTTCACTTTTTCTTGCTCTTGATCAGGCATTAATTTGTCCACTACATGTTTAAATATTTTGCCATCATTATTAACATAAAAAGTAGAAAATCCATCGTACCACCTATCAATAAATTTTGGAAATTAATACTACAGATTATAGGCAGTATACACATATACAATAGAACCATGAGTGAAACTACTTACGCTGGTTTTTCAGTAGCTTGATTTTTCAAATTCCACAGACTAAATTTCCAAAATGATAGAAATACACTTGTACCAGAAATACCTTCTATGCGCCACCGAACTTTAATAGTACTGTCCTCAGGGTGCATAGTCATTTTTAAAATATTACATTTAACATAAGCGAATTTTATATGACCTATTATTTTTAATATTGATATTTGCTTTATATACTCATAAATACCCCTATAAAAGATTTCTAAACATATATCTAAGAATATATATTTATCTTTATTTTATATATATATATATATGTATATGTGTATATATGTATTAATTTATATTTAAATAATATATTTAAATAAAATTATATTGTAAATTAGATACTTACGTAGTTGTGGTTCCTTTAATATTATTTATAAATATTAAATCAGCTGTATATATTGAATAATTCATTGTTCTAACAAACAATAATGGTAACTGAAATAAAAATATGTTTCTATAAGTATAAGGTAATCTATCTATAATTTGAAGTATCCTTTTTGTACAATAAAAAGACATACATCAGTTTGAAGTTGATTAAATACAGTTTGTAATCGTTCTTCAGATGATTTATGTTCCTGAGGTTGCGTGTTATTTATATCCGTTATGTTAGGAGATGTTTCTGAATACAGAATACCTTTCGTTTTAGAACTAGAAAGGGTATTGTCAGATATCCTCTTAGTTAATGTCATCTTTAACAAATAATATTTGTTATTTTTAAAATTCATATACGATTCTAGCTACTGTATAGTGTTTTTTAATATGCATACCCCACTTAGATCAGAATTATTTATATTTATTGGTTGAATATTTAATTTTTTCCATCTATGCACTGTTAATGTTTCTTGTTTATTGCAATTATATTTTTTCTTGTATATATTTGAGTTTTCAATGTGAGTATTATAAAATGTATTTGGTATATTTTGACCCAATAAACAAATTAAAGAGTTCACAGAACATTTTGTGGAATTTATTGCCACATTTATTTTTGTTTGCATATCTGAAAACTAAAATTATAAAGATTACATATGAACATTTAATTTTTCCATTGCTGAAACATAATCAACATGACTCATACTTAATTAGTAATTAAAATCAAAATATGTAACTTGATAAAGCATGTCAAAAAACTAGACAACTAAACGAACATACAAACTATGTTTTAATATTATTTGTTAATTAATATATGAAACAAGTACATAGACACTCAAGAATAATGAAAAGAAAACAAATGAAAAAAATAGATACATTTTTTCTCAGTATAAATAATCCATGTACGTTTGAAATTATTATGATAAATTACCTATTACATAAGTGTATTAAGGTTAACTTATTGTTCATGATATAAGTTGTAAAATGAATTGCAATTTTCGTTAAATAAAAACGTATTTTCAGTTAAAATGATTAGTACTTATTAAAATAAATTTCTGGATACATACCTCGTTTAAAAACAAAGACGATTTAATTTGTTTGGATAATTGATGGTTGAACTTTATTACTTGCCGGTGCTTATTAACAAGTGATGTAAATCTATTTGAAGCAGAACGTAAACAAAAAGACATTTTTCATTTAATTATTTATTTTGTTAGTTCATACTATTTGCCTATACAAAATTCTTTATTTATAAACAATAAAATGCGAAGATAACTGTCGGCATGCTCTGGACATGATAATACAGACTGCAAACCGTCTTCGGTTAAATTCACGTGTATCGTGTATTAATACGTTCTCGATAGTTGTTAAGTTTTCGATTTAAAAGAGGGCGTTTATTCCCAATAAAGAATTTTAAATTTTTCTAGGTATAGAAAGATAACGGAGAAATGATTTTTAGACGATGGAATGAATGGTACATTATTATTTAATATGACAATTTTTTATTTAATTATGTACATTTATTAACATGAAGCTGTATCGATAATATATCGTGTTATGATAATACAACGACAAAGCGAAGAAAAATAATAAATCGTATAACATTTCTTAGTTGCTATATTAATTTATGATAAATTTTCATTTTCTAAAAAAGTATTCAATGATAAAAATATTGGTATTAAAATATTACAATGAAGTTGTTTACGAAATATTTTTAGAAACATTTTATCCGTAAAAAGTAAAAAACATGAAAGTAAATAATTTGAATACAATTAGCTATAAATGTTTTTGAAAATGTAATGATAAAATGTGTATAAATTTGAAATCACTCATTTTCATGAGTTAGATGTGAACGGAATGCTAATTTAATAAATATATTAATTAATGTTTTACGAAAGTTTTAAGTTAAAATAAAAATTATTTTACTAGAATTTGCTTGTATGGTTGGTAACATTATTTTTATAATATAAAGAATTTTAACAGAATTTTTACACTGTATATCACTTGCTTTAAAATATTAGCAAGCAGTAGTACGAAATTTATTTTTTTCTGACAATTCAGTGTTAAAGATCGTTCAATGTTAACATTTTGCATGCCTTACCAGAAGTCAGCATTACTAATTAAAAGTACAGTTAAATGTTACTTAAAATTGCTATATTGCTTCATAAGCAACATCAACACCAATTCTAGTTATAGAACCATTTAAAAATTCTTCGAGTTCATCACGTTCTCTGTTTTCATCCTTTGAACGATGTAACGAACGTTTCTTCTTTTTTTCTACTTTATCCGTTTTGTCTTTATCTTTTTCTTTGTCTTTAGATTTCTTCTTTTTCTTTTTTTCTTTGTCCTCCGTCTAAAAGCAATTTAATTTAAAACAATATTATTATATAATGACATTCAATTAAAAATAATTTATAATTGATGTCTACCTTCTCTTTGTGCTTTTTCTTTTCTTTCAATACAGGACTACCACCATCTGAACTCATATGGCGTACACTGGTATTATCGAGCAATTCTAGATGAACATTTGAACTTGTTACGCTAACATCTAAACTTTTGTCACTCAACTCCAGTCTATCTTTTCTAGTACTATTACTGCTCACATCTTCTCCGCCTTCTGGACTTTGTCTCCATTTAGAATCTCGTCGGAGCCAGCTATCAAACGCATCAGAATTAATTCCTTGTTGCTCGTTCACCTCATAATTATTCGATATTTCTATTTCTTGATCTATCGATGAAACGGAATCGCGTTTAACATTTTGTCTTAGCTTTTCCGAATTTATTTCCGTATTTGACAAAGTTTCGCGTTTATGTTTTTGTTTACTCAAAGGATTTTCAGCTAATTTTGGTTGAACGGGAGGTGTTGTTTCATCAGCCGAAGATAGATCATCCTCGTAACCAGCAACCAAAGGATTTGCAGTCTCAGTATCACTATGAAAAAGCAACAAACATTAATGAAAATTATGGACAAATTTTATAGAATTATTTTTGTTTTTTATAGAACTGCAATATACCTCTCAGTATCTACTTCTTCGTGTTGTACTTTTTGCGGCGAAACTTGATTGTTATCTTCTAGGAATGATCGATCTAGAAGACCATCATCTGGTATAAAATCTTCGACGCTAGTTAGTGGTACGTTTGTATTTGTATTGTTAATATGTATTCCTTTGTCTACTTCATCTTCTTTCTTATTACCAAATATCTTCGACATAAGCGATTGCGATTTATTCATTGAATCTCTTCTATCAGAATTGTCATTTAAAAATTCAGTCATTTTAGGATCTGTTTTTGAAATATTTTGTCCAGTCGATAATGCTGATATCGTCTGTGAATTTTTTATAGGAACTGCTTGATTTTCCAAAGTATTTATAAAAGTGTCCTTTTTTGGTGGTGATTTCAAATCTATACTTTTAACTGGAATAGGAGTTCCACCACCTATAGGACCTGGCATGGAAACTGATCTTTTAACTTCCATATTTGCATTTGTATTGCCATTTGAAGATAACATATGATGATTACTCAGTGAAGATGTAATATTAGGGACTAGAGTAGTGGCAGAAACAGAATCAGCAAGAGCTCTTCTTCGGTTAACAAGATTATCCAAGAATTTATTATAATTGGCATCATCGCTATCCTGAAAGAGATCAAGTTCCTGTACTGTTAAACGTGTTTCCTCCTCATTGGTATCAAGTTGCTTTAATAATGTTTCTCGTTGTAGTTGAAGAAATGGAAGATTAAAGAATTTGTGCAAAAGTTTTAATCCAAATCCATTTCTCATAGATGATTCTGCATATCTTACCTATGAAATATAAAATATTGCACTTAGTTATAAACCTACTTTTTTAAATAGTAAAAAGTTCATAACAATAATAAATTTACTTGTGCTGTTCTTTCATGTAATGAATCAATAAAGTATGTTACATGATCTGATGTAACTGTCCTATGATGTGCCATATCACAGTGATTTCCTAAAACAATCACTGGAATATGGCTAGGAATTTTTGGAAGTTCTCTTTGTACATAATCAAATGTCCAAGATTTTGTAATGTCCATCATAATAATAACACCGTTGGTCCCTTTATAGACATCAAGAAACTCTGCATCTAAAGCAGGCTCCTCAATAATATTTTCTGATGGCGAATTATCCATTTTTAAACCATCTAATTTTTTTCTACGTCGTCCTTTATCTACAACATCCCAAACTTCAACTTTAACAATATCATCAGTAGCTTTATAATTCCATTGAATACTGGTCACTTGTATTTCTTCTGTTGGTATATATTCTTCTATGAATTTCTGACCCTGAAGTCTATGAAATAAACAAGTTTTTCCTACGTTTCTATCACCCTTTACAATAATTTTCACTAAAAATAAAATTCTTTTCATTTTAAGCATTTTATTTTTATTAAGAACTAATATAATATACTTACTATTATACTGTACACCTTTAGCAAATTTTCTCTGTAATGTTGTTGGCATAGATTGGTGAGCTGGTCTAGGAGATACATTGCCAACTCCGTCTGATTTTCCAGCAAATCTTTTAAACGCAGAAAACATTGTGGGCTACTTTCCCACAGAATCAATAATAACTTAGGAAAAGATGTTTTCCTTAATAATTTAGTAACAAATATCTAAATAGAAAATGTACAAAAAAATTAAACTCTTATCTTAGAAAAATAAAAATTCAGTTAATAAAATAGAACTACATATTATTTATATACAACTTATATAAGCATATTGTTAAAAAATATTAAAACTATAAAAAATATGGCACATAAGCTTAAAGAAAGCAAATTTTTGAAACAACAACAAATATAAATGTGGAAATTATAACTTCCATAGAAGTAACCTAAATGAGATATGTATAAAACTTGTAATATTATAAAAATAGTTCACTAAAACAATGAAAGATACGATTAAGCTCTCGTTAGAAAAAAGAATTGATATTAATTAATACTTGCCATAATCATTATAAAATGTATGTTAAAAATTTTTGTGATAACAAATTCTTTCTTAATTATTAATATGATGAATTATAAAGTAAATATTATTACTCACCACATATTATTTTAAGTTTTTCATGGAAAAAAGTTTATTTGAATTAGACAACCGATTTAATAAAACTTAAGCAGCTGTCACTCGCAGTCAGCTGTATTTATTTTTTATCGTAATGTTGGTAACCAATTTTGTGTTATGTATATATATATATATATATGTATATGTATAGTATATCTACCGCAAGAAGGAACTAACTAGATAAAGGTTTGTACAGCCTGATAGCCTAGGAAAATTCCTGACCGAGAAAGTGCTGCATTTCTGTACAAATCAAATTCGCACTTGATTTTACATAAATGACAAAAAATGATTTTTTTTATTAGAATTAAAAATTGTATTTCTGTTAAATATTAAAATGATTTACTGTAAATTACATGTTGTCAATATATTATGTACAATTATAAGTATTGTAATTAGAAAAATATAATCTATTTCAGTCCTTCTGTTGTAGCCTGATAAAGAAGAGGCTTCAAATTTTCCCGTACTAATGTATGCTGTTCTCCATGTGTTATAGCTAGTATTGAATTTGCTTTCCTTAATGCCTCAAGAGCTTGTTTTGGTTTTTCTAAATATAATTGAATCTTTCCAGTCATAAGTAACAATATGCCAGTCAGTGGATGAACCTCTCCATAGTATACTCTGAAACATTAAATTTGGCATTATTGTTTATTTACTAATTTTATAAGTATAGAACTCTGTTTACTAACAAGTAGCCTTTGATAAGCTTTTTAGCATAGAATTCAGCTTCCTCCCAGTGTTGCAAACTTATGGAAGAATCAAAAGCGGTTTGTAAAGTTTGTACATGTTGAATATTAAGAGAATGTAAAACACCCTCTTGTTTCTTGAGACACATTTTACTTACATCTAAATCTAATTTTTCTTATAAGAAAATTATGTCTTTTGCTAAATAAATACATAAATATGTACTTTAACTGGAAAGGATACAAGCCATATTTTTCATGTTTTGTAAATGGTGTGCTGTAAAACTAGATACTTCGTCGAAGATTTCTTTAAAATTTTCTAATAATTTTATATTACACTCTGGGCAACTTTCCATATCTGGAGAGCATGGATTTGTACAATTTTTATTTGAACATGCTGCTGCTTCTGCCATTAGTTCTGGTTCTTCACATTTTTTACAATTACACCAAAAATAATATGAACTTTGTAATTCGCTACGTCTCTCCTTTGTTGTTTTAAGCACATCAATATATGATATCCTTATCTATGAATATATAATTGTAATTGTAGTTTCGTTTTAATAAACATTATAATCGAAATTATTAATATAACATTTTTATATGGTACTATAAAGAAAGGATATTCATATACCTGAGACCAATCTAAACTAGGAAGATCTTCTATCGTTCTAATATTTAAAGTAATTCCTTCAAAAGTAGCTACAGCATTGGGTACACAACTATGATCCACAACAGAAGGTGCCAGATAAATCCCAACACCAATACTATTCATATCCAGATCAAATATGTTAAAAGAATTAATACAAATTCGACCATAAATACCCATTAATTCTGCAGAATTTGGCATAGGTGTATCTCCAAGAAATCCAAACAACACACCACACAGAAACATAAAATGTTCCATTTTCTTTTCATCTTTCTTTATATCAGAATAATCTAGTAAAATAATAATCTGTATAGTAGTTAAAAAGAAATATGTAAACTAAAAAATTATATATGTCCTTAAGCAATATAAAACACTTACGGGACATCAAATCCTTAAATCTTCTAAATTTTGTTTTAGTATAATATTCCACCTCATCATCTCCACCTTGACTTAGCTTTATAATTATACGTGCCATCAGTCGTGCCATATCTGGTACAACTTTTGGCGAGACTCTTTTTAAATTTACACATTCTGTGTTATGTGTAGGCCAAGATCCTTGTTGACAGGATCGATTACAGTAATAAACATATTGACAAGCGGAACATCTAAAAAGCTTTCCACTGAAAGAAACAAGATTATAATATTTTTGTATTATTATAACCTTGTTGAACAGTAGAATAATTTAAAATATACAGTGTAAAGTAGTAAAAACTATTACTATTTTGTATATTAAATATACTATTTAAACTAAATAGTTTTAAAAAATTGTCAATAATATACCTTGTCAAACAGTAATCACACCGGTTGGTTCTGTATTTTGAACTTAGGACATAAGCAAATGGTTTAGCAGTAAAAATAGTAGTTCCTTTCTTTGTGAGATTATTATTCTTACTCATCATTAACAGAAGTTTAATTTATTAATAGCACTTAATTTTAACGCGAATATGTATATTTAATTTACAAATGGTAATAGAAATACGAGTATAGAAAATAATATACCGATTTGTGATATAACCTACAATTTTAAACTAATATAACATTGCTTACATGCTTTATATTATTGATCTGTATTAATATAGTTAATTAGAAAACAATAAAATATATTAACAATAGATGTTAATAATTTATAAAAAAATTCACTTGAGAAATACAAGCTGGTTATATATAAAGGTGGAAGCTAATATGTACGTGTGTATACATAATTTTGTATAAACCTATTACCTTTGTAAACAATGGTCACATCGTTCATTACGGTATAAAGATCGTAAAACATAGGCAAAAGGTTTTGCAGTTAAAATAGTTGTTCCTTTACTAACGAATGAGCTCTTATATCTGTTTTGTATTCCCATTGTCGTTTATATGTAGTTATTGTTTACCTAAAAGAAGTTTTTAGTATTTTTTGACCATTACTAAACGAAAAAATGTAACGTGAAATATTTTTAATAGTTCATTACATTGATCATTTAAATTAGGCACTTACCTACCATTTTGAGACCAGCTGCTTTAGTATCACTTATTATTAGAGAAATCTAAATTTAGAAACTGGCAGTGATTAATTAAGAAGTACAGATTACAGAAATAAGTATCAACAATAAGAATCTGAAACGGAGTATTTATTTACAATAATTTAATTGTATAAAAATCTTGAAAATTTGATATTTTCATTTTTATATCTTTTATAAATTTATGAACATAATTTAACCGTATTTCTATGGAAGAATACATTGACATGTTAAAACCATGCACATAACTTCGACTAGGATTTAAGACCAAAAATGGAGAAAAAGTTAAAAACACACAGAAAAAATATATTTTGTTTTTCTTGATAAACGCAGTGTCATATGTACAATGCCATTATCATTAATATAAATTAGTTTTGGCGTTCTTTTATTTCTTCATGTCATAATATTATTTTGGAATCGCATTTTTTTTTCTATAATCAACCATATTTTAATTTCTGACATCTTAAAATATACACTTTAGATTCTACTTCCAACAATTCCTTTATCCAAATTGAATAATTCAAAATGAATGTATGTTCTATTTTTTCTATCTCACAAATAATAAACTTATTGTTAGACTTGATTGAGCATACAAAAGGAACAGGAATGAGAGACTGTTTTTTACTTAATGATCATGATAATGTAATGATGAACATTTTGGTGATAACATGACATCTACCATTCTTTTTTATGTTCATCCATGGAAACACCTCCAGGACCTAAAGAGACTATCATTAGAAGGCCACCAATTACTGACAATGTCTGTAAATAATTAGATTTATATTATACATTTTTTAATAAAAGCATAGAATAAGTAGTAAATATTTGAAAAAATAATATTCAAATGAATAATTACCTGAAAGAAATCATATTTAAGAAAATCTCTAAGTGCTTTATATTCTGGAATGCTCCACCATGCATTATGGTAAAGATTAAGAGCAGATAATAACAAGACAAGTAATAGTGCACTGAGTTTTGTCTTGTATCCAATAGTTACTAATACCATTAAAATACTTCCAAGAATATCCTGCATGATTTGAAGGAACGATATTTCAAAACGAATTAACGTAGTAAACATAAATGCCAATAAAATTCTGCCAGCCAGTTGTAATAAATTTTTAGGCTTATTATCTCCAAGACTTGGTACACCGGCAAATAATGATCTTCCTTCTACTCTTGATTCAGCCAAAACCAAAAGAAGTGCTCCTATCAATGCTAAATTTCTAAACAGGAATGTTACATCCCATAAAATGTTGTAAGCTAATGTCTGCAAGACCACTATGAAGAATAGGACGCCGCAAGCAATGCTGACTTTCCATCTTCCAATAACCATGACACAACCACCGAGCTGCCCAATTAAATTTATCAAGACAAACATTGTAGCTAAAAATGTACCGCAATTCCAGGCATTGTTCATAAATTCTTTTTGCTCTGACCATTGAAACCACATTCTTAGCCCATCTTCCAGAAACGTGGCTATAAGGCAAAGTCTTGCAAGTGTTGGTAATATGTGCTTTCCATTACGGATTACCTGTTATTATAAAAAACAAAAAAATAATAGTTATAACGATATTTGAAACACCTTAAAATTACATTTATAATAAAATATTTGTGTATCATTTTAAAGTTCTTTCATACTATAAAAAAGGATCAAAATAGGTCTGTGAAAAATGACAAGAAACACATAAAATAAAAAGTAAAAAATAATGAAACAAGTATTAGTAAACAAAAAGACAAAATAATAATAAAAATTAATATTCTTCACATTTTGCTCAGTTTTTAATGATATTATTTATTTGAATTCAACTACAAAACACTTTATAAAAAAGATATACTTATTTTATTCTAAAGTATATTGTGATGATAACATAAAAGATCTGAAAGCATAGCATTCCAATAATTAATCGGAGAGACAATAATGATCGTAACATACATTTCGTTAACGATGCATAACCTTTAATTTCAAGATTTATAAGCAACAGTGTACGAGAATTTTCAACGTTTAATTATGTTAAAAAAATGTTATGTTTACAAATGATCAATAAAAGAAGAGATACGAATTAAAATATGCGAATGTGTATAGCAACCGTGTCACGATGACGTTGACAGGAGTACACCTATGCTCCTACAGGATTTCTGTCGATCTTCTATCACGAGTTTCTTCGCGAAAGCAGAACTATTCATAAAAGAGAATAAGTGGAGCACGATGGCTCATAAATTCACCTGATCAGCAATTTCTTCCGCTTTTGAGATCACCTCCTGCGAGATCAGCATCTTGTTTTATTTAAAAACCAAAAAATACCCATACACTTGCATCAAACACACGTGCGCGTACGCAAGCAACACTGATAGAATAGAGAAAAGAGTAGATAGACAGGGAAAGAAAAGGAGAGAGGGAGAAAGTTGGAGAAACACGGAACCGGGAACTACAGTAGCTCCATACGACTGCGTGAGCGATATTCTTGCAACTTTTCTAAATGATGTGGAGATCGAGGTATCGCGTCACTTCCGGTATACGTGGTCAAATAACTTGTTCCGCAATGTTTTCGAAAGTATATACATATATTGTTCTACTTCAATGATATTTCAGTTTCAAAAAGTTTCCTTTCATTGGTGTACCGTTTCTTCCTAGACGTTTCCTTCTTCGAAATATGTCATATCATATCAGTATTTCCTCTATTGCAAATATCCAATTAAAAACAATCATAGTTTGTATTTTCACGCGTTCGGATAAATAAACGTTTTGCTAATTTAAGTAAATAAAATTATAGTATTAAATTTGTTCAAATTTGTCGAAGTTATAACGCGGTTAGTTAAGACGATGCATTTGTATGATTTTAAAACGCTTGATGTAATAAACGTATCTAACAAGTATGTATGCATGTAGATGCGTGTTATTATTTTGATATACCAACCGACGTTGTATTTTATCTCACTTTTTTTAATACAGAATAATTTGAATTAACATCGATTATTAATACATTATACCTTATAGATGCAAATAGCGAAAAAATTGTAACGAAATTCGTCTAATTTCATTCAATTAAGACTGTTTTCATACAGTCTAAAGAATGAAGAAAAAATGAAGAAATTGGCGTACTTTTAAATGCGAAGTTGAACACGAAGTTTCAATTAAATAATTCAATATTATATTCAATAATAGTATTAATGATACTGTAGTGAATAGATATGGAAACAGCAGTAAAGGTAATAAAACATTTTATGGTCAAAATTACTTTAGAACTGCGCCATAAAAAATATTACAATACCATAGCGCCATCATACTTATATTTCAATAACTAAAATCAGTACTTCTATCGAACGCGTAGTGTTTGTGTTTTTTATTCTCTCGTGAAAATACAAAAAAGATGAATATTCATATTCAAAATATGGTAAAATATAATAAAAGCATATGCGGTAATTAACTAGTTGAAATTGAGTAATATGGAAATAAGTTAAATTTCCAAATTTTTCATACAATAAAAAAGAAGTAGATTTTTGCATAAAAAATGCTGCTTTTAAGATTTATTTTTTACACTATTCAGCTAACATTTACAAAATTAGTTTCATAATTCGAAACACCACAATTAATAGCAATACGTTTAACCGAGGTAATAAAAAATATAATTTATAATTAAGTCATATTTTGTGTATAGAGTTTGATAGAATTTAGAAAACTCTATATTTTTGTTTTACAAGTGTATTAATTTATAGGCAAGTTTATATTACATTTAATTTATAAAATTTAATAAAAGTCACTTTATTCGTTATTCTAAAGATTTACAATAATTTAATGTAATATTTGTTACTTAGTTTATATCGTATCGAATAAAATAAAATAGTTACAATTAAAGTTGCGTGCCGTATCTTTATTTCTTATTCCAGAGTATTCAACATGGCACAAGAAGCTACTAACAAATTGATTAGAGAAGACTTTGATGCAGGTCCTCCAAGTTATACCGAAATTATACCTGGTTTGTTTCTTGGAAATCTCACGGCTGCTACGGATATCAAATGGTTGAAAGAAGCTAAAGTAAATTACATACTGACAGCAGATTCGTGCCCTTTACCTAGAAAGATCCAAGAACTTTTGCCAAATTTGACCATAAAATATGTTCAAGTTACCGATATGCCACGCGAAGATCTTTTGACTCATTTCGAAGATTCTTACGAGTTTATAGATCATGCTTTGCAACTGACCGATAAAGTATTAGTACACTGCTATTTTGGCATATCTAGGTCCGCTACGTTAGTTGTAGCATATTTAATGAAAAAATATAAGAGAAATTTCTTCGATACGTTTGAAGAGGTGAAAGGAAAAAGACCCTTTGTTGAACCTAATGCTGGTTTTTTAGCGCAATTGAAACTTTACGAAGAAATGGGTTTTGGAATAGACAATACCAATGTACAATTTAAGATGTACAAATTACAAATCGCAGCAGACAAGGTAAGGAAGGCAAAGATCTTACCTCAAACTTGCGCAGAATTGATAAAACCGGATCCAGCTCTCGCTACAGTACGTCCAGAGCCAACGGTTTATCGATGTAAAAAGTGCAGAAGAATCGTGGCTAGTGCCAGTAATATTTTGCCACATATACCAAGAGAGAAACAAATTTGGAGACACATAAGTTCGAAAAGAACATCGAAACAGTCGAAAGTCTCGCGCGATCCTTTAGAACCGTCAAAAAAAGAAGATCAGCAGTCCGTAGAATTTTGTACTAAAATATTGTTCGTGGAGCCCTTGGCCTGGATGCCTGATATTACTCATAACGTCGAAGGAAAGTTAAATTGTCCAAAATGTGGTACAAAATTAGGCTCCTTCAGTTGGATAGCAGGTAGTCAGTGTCCATGCGGTAGCAAAATAGCACCAGCATTTTATTTGGTTCCTTCAAAAGTGGACTGGAGCAATGTCGTACAAAATGTACAAGTAACTGTATAGTGTTAAAAATGTATTTATATATTTAAAAACTTTTGGACGGATGATATATGTATATACATATAGACATTTTTTGGACCTTTTTACGTGGTTTTAGTCGTTTATTATCGAAACGAATATAGGTACGTGTGACCAATATTATACGTATGAAGATTCGTATTCTAATTTTGTGCCAATATTCATACCTATATTATGTACGTACAAATAATCGTTATTTTGCGATTGTAACGTCAGATGTTTATTATCGCGACAAGTAAACTATTGTTCTTCCACGATTCGATTCTTACATGTCTACATCTTCCTTTTTTCTACGATTAAATGTACCGAATTTGTAGATTAGAATACCAATTTCTGTGTATATTTCTTGTATTAATAATGTAATACATTTACCATTTTTATCATTTATTAAGCTACTTTGATTCTACAAAATATGATTACGAGTTATTTTCGTTACCCTGTATTTGGTACTTAGATATTAATTGTAAGTTTCATGTTAATCGTAATTCGATCGATTGGTCCTTTCGGTATACTTTACCATATTCTAGGTTCTTTTACTTCGGTATCGTTCGATGATTATAATTACAAATATGTTTTAGAATCGAAAGTATGCATTTACATGCTCGCATGCATGGCAGAGTAGGTCGTTCCATATGGGTGTGTTCTGAATCTTAGAGCATTTAAACTATTCATCGCGGATCCTTCGAGCCCACCGTGGATATCTGCCTGATGATAAGAAGGTATATTCACGTTTGCTAAATTGCCATTGATAAATCCGTGGCAGCTGGTACTTTGCATGGAGGCATAGTGTTGCGATGTTCTCCAGTATTCGCTGTAGGGATACTGAGCGACTTGAGAAGTTTGCAAGGGTTCCGTATTATTTTCCTGGGTATGCGTTACTCGAACAGGTCGCAGAGGTAAAGTAGTTTCTATTTCTCTGTTCGAAGATAATCCCCGACTAATGGCAGAACTTCTTTCGTTTCGACGAAACTTGGCGCGTCTGTTTTGGAACCATACCTGTTAGCAAAATTTCGAAATACATCATTAATTTCATTGATATAGGAAGCGATAGAGAAACATAGTCGAGATCGTTTAAAAAGATAAAGACAGATTTGTCGGACGAAGGGAAGAGAATGAAAAGAAAGGGCAGATTGGAAAGAAGAGGCGAGAAGGGTTGCGAGGAGCAAAGGCGGAGAAGAGCGTGACGGCTCCTGGCAGGCGTACGGTTCGCAGACGAACGGGAACGGGACGAATAGACGGATATTCGCGTGAAACGTGGCAGACACAGCTTTGGATGGATCGACACGAGCAACGAAAAGTGTGCTTCGCTGTACAGTCGTGTAACAGCTACCACACACGTGCTGGATACGCAACGTATCATACGGTACGTCGTATGCCAAGCACAGATGCCGCTGAAACGGCGTAACTATCCTGGCTAAGCTAATCATAGCTTCTTGCCCTGACAACCTGTCTCCTCCGATTTTCTGCCTAGCTGTCCACGACTTCTATCCTCCTTCCCGCTTCTTCCTCTTATTTCTTTCCTCCGTATTCCTTCCTTTCTGCGCCATCCTCTCTGCCTTGCTTTCTACCACCCTACCCAGCAAAATTTCGAAGAACACGTGTGAACACGGTCCGTCAGCGCCCGACGATCACTTTTTCTGACGAGCACGACTCTTTCACCGAATAAAACCCGTTTTCTATCTTTGCTTCGTGTACAAAGATTTCTTGTTACCGAGAATATCTATGCGTACTTCGATTTCGTTGCGTTTACGTAAAATTACCTGCACTCTGGCTTCGGACAAAGACACACGCGTCGCGAGTTCTTCCCGAACGAACGCGTCAGGATAATGCGTTCTCTCGAACACTCTCTCTAAAGCGGCTAATTGTTGGGCGGAAAAGGTTGTTCTGCTTCTTCTGGGCCTTCTATTCGCGGCTGTCGTCGAATTCTCGCTGCAGTCTGTAAATTGAAACGATACGAGCCAATTTATGCGCGAGGTAAAATGTTAAAACTCCAAGCGGAACGATCCGAGATCCGGCGCGCGATAAACAAGAAGTAACAGGTCGAAAAAAGAAAACTGTGTAAAGAGGAGAAGAACGGCACAGGCGTGGCTATTCTTGAATGACTCCACTGTATTTGAGCATTCATCAAAGCGGCATAACGCGAACAGCATGACTGAAAACGCGTGTTTTCGATGAAATCTAACACGTCGTCGCGTCGATCCAAACGCGAAAACGCATCGAGGATATACGCCGGTTGTCTGCTGTTCCGAGAGATCCCCAATTGCATTTAATAATCTTCGCTGCGTTACGTATACACGTACACGAAGCGTATCAGGACATCAAAAATTATGTAGGACTTGTCATACGAGATTAAAAATTTGCCTGAAAACGAATTAGCTTTCCGAATCACCGTAACTTTCTTTATGTAATAACAATTTCACCATTTTTAGATTTGCGCAAATATGCGCGTTCACGATATATTTGTGAAACATAGAAAAATATCCGCAATCGGTTTATCGCTTTAGCCGAACAGACTAACAAATTACAATTTTATCGGTGTTCCATGTATTAAAATCATTTCTTCTATAGAATCACTATCAATTATGTTCGGATGTTCGGGAAAGAATAGATTTTCAACATTCTTACCTAGCGAATTAGTTGGTGTCGATAGCAAGCGCGAAACAGTGAAATCTTGCGGTGTATGGTGATTCCCAACCTGCGAAATCATCACACCGTTTCCTTCCTGTTCCGAATTTGTGCACAACATTTTCCCTCGCTTCGACGACGAGCTACTTCTTCCGAACTTTTCCAACACCAGAACTATTAATTATTTGTATCTCGAGATCGGTAACTTCGAGATCAGTACATTATAATCTCGCGAACGAGGCGTTTAACCGGTGGAATTCGCGGAATTCTCAAAAAATACCATTTTCTGGATATTAAGCTCTAAAAATGTACGTTTTAGGACATTACTGGGGCATAAAAATTATTTAATAGCGGTGAAGATACGCATACGAGCAGAGCTTGCAACGCGTAATTTGCTTTCGAAAATTTGAGTTGTAGCATTTCTGAGGTGAAACGTGACGGAGCAATTAAGGCCGCTCGAGCCACGTGCCGGTCGAAATGACGGCTCGATACGTTTACGACTTCTCGAAAAACGGTTTATCAGCTTTTCAAAATTATTACTGGACTCACTGTTTTACACTATTTATTTATACTTATTTAAATCCCGTACCACTCACCGATTGATCAGTTCTCAAACTGTTCGTTGAGCGATTAACGTTAGAATCGTTGGCATTCGTAAGACACTGTACCGTGAAATTTATTTCACGACGTTAAACATATTTTAACGCTGGTTACGATAAATTACGATTCGTTCCGGTGTTTGAAGGTGTTTGCGAAAGAGGGCTAGTTTAGACTGCGCGTACCTTTCCCCCTTTGCGTCGAATATCGATCTACAAACATGTAAATTAGAACGAAGAAGTTCGCTCTCGCGAAAGCGAATTGATTTTCTATATTAACGATTCGAATGAAAAGTTTGCTCCTCTTTGGTCTTTGATCGAAGCGTTCCTTTATCGCTTCGTAAATCAATCGTTCTTTCAGCGATTTTACAAATTCTAAACATTAATTTTCAGCCATATTTAAGAATACGTTATACAATTTATTTTATTCGTATTCCGTTGTTTCGTTCAGTGTTTACGAGCGGGTGAGTCGCAAAAATGTTTTTTAGACCGGTCGAAAATTTGAAAGAATCTTTGTAACGCCGCGAAAAATTTCCGCTAAAAATGTCGCCGTTGCGCTATTTAAAAAAACATTGTAGGTACAACGATCACGCACAAGGAAATTACGCGCGAGCCTCGAAACCGCGAAAACGCGTCGTTCGTACTTAACCAAATCGTATGTAAATCACAACTGGTCGATCGATTTGGTCGGAAGATCGTTACAAATAGCCGTGTGCGAACGAAGCCATCGTATTAGTAGGTGCGGCGAGATGCCAACTGACTTGGCCGAGTTAAAACGTACTTGAAGATCCTCCTCAGCCTCTTCATTTGTCTCTCCTCTTCGTTCTTCCCTCTCCTACCCCGTGTCACACTCCCTTTCCGTTCCTCTTTCTTCGTCTCGTTCTGCCTTTTACGCAGGGAGAGACACACACACGCACGAGAAGAGAGAAATAGAGCATTTTAAGAGTAGGTGGAGATTTCCTTGGCAAGCTCCACCTTCATTAGAAGCTCATTGGTTTCTAAACGATACTCAACGCTGTTTCGCGTTTTGGATACAACCCTTCAGGGTTACAAAGAATACTGTAGATACTGTAGGTGGATTCTTTGAAAGTTGCAGTCAACAATCGCGATGATTGTTTTGTTCTTATTTCAAGAATAACAGTAGCTTTCGTGGAAACTTATTGTATATAACGATCAGTCAGGAATATCGAAACGAATAACCGTAAAAACTTGAGCGATCTCTTGATATATTACAAGGAACTGGACATCGAGTATCGAGAGCGAAGAATAACGTGTATAATATGTAAATAGGTATCCATTTTGAGTAGCGCCGGCGTCACAGTGTAGTGGTTTCAATTTTCATGGACACGTTGAACCACTCTTTCATACCCTGAAACATTGGTCTTCTTCATAGTCGCGGCTGGCTCTCGTTACACAAGGGTGTCGAGTAACGATTTCGTCTGAACACGAAGCTCCTGATTCTTTTGCTTTTTTACCGAACTTCTTTCCACTTTCGTCGAGATGCTTTTTCATTTTTTAGTAGTCTATTATTCGATTTTACTTTTTCGACCAGATATTGTTACGTCGTATAAACTGCGACCGATAAAATTGTCGCTAAGGTTATATCGTACCTGCACGAAAATCTGTTCTTCAATATTTTCATATGCACAAAAAACTCTGGCATTTAGATTTATAAAGGACTTTCGACATTTGTCTGTTAAGGGAATATAAAGTTCATTGTCAAAGCACGTCTCTGAGTAAACACCGATCGAACGGGAAGAGGTGAGCGGTCTGGCGAAAAGAAAAAAATGTTAAGAAAGCTGGCTGCAGCGGTTAGCAAACAAGGGTGACATCGTCCGTTTTCGACATTTTTTTCTACGAAGGTAAACATCTCAGCCTACGATTTCATTCTTTTTTTCCTTCGATCCGATCAAGATGAAGTGCAGAATAGATAACAACTAGAGTCTCGTGGCTAGAAACTATCAGAATACTATTGTAAAATGACAGTATACGTGATTAACGCTGAAACGACCGTGAAGAGAAGAATCGAACAGAATAGAGCAGAGAATTGATCGAAAGTGTAACGCGAAGATGCGTTAAAAGTTTGATTTCTTTTCGCGACGACTTTCAACTTGTGCCATCGGTTACGCGATACCCTGTACACTTTAGCGTGAAAGGAACGCTGCCGGCTCTCAGCAACAATTATATTCCCGGCGATTTTATTTATACGAGGCTTTTACGAGCGCAGTCACTCTTGCTGTCAACCGTGCTGGTCCAATAAAACGCGTCTTCTCGCGTTGCTTCGTTCGCTGGCCACTTTCGACGCCGTTTAGACCGAATTATTTTCCTCGAAATAAATGGGAAATCAGCTAATGTGTTTCCTTCGAGAATTCTGAATGATCTACGATGACCGGTGCGTCATCTCTAAACTAATCGATTTACGATATTTAATCGGACTGGCTGGTGTCGCGAGCGAAAAATTTTCTCTCGTTTCGTTTCTCGCATCGTTTCGCTCTTTCTTCCGTTATCGTCTATCAAGATACTCGGGGTTAATGCTACCAACGTGCCTCCGCAAAAAAGAATATCGATAACTATGGGACAATATCACGAAGCGATATTTTCGTATCTACAAGTTTTCTTCGGTCATAGTCATAAACGAGACATACTATAGAGATTGTCGAAATTTGATGTTTACGAATAATACGCGGTGTTTCTTAACGAAATGAAAAAACTTTGTTCTTGATTTTAAGAACAGCGCGCCCAAGTCAGATCGAAGGTTGTTATTCGGGACGAAAAAAAAAAAAAAAA